TTTACAAGAATAAAGTTGTTCAGTTAAGGAATCTGTTCAGTTAAGGAATCTGTTCAGTTTGGGGAATCTGTTCAGTTAAGGAATCTGTTCAGTTTAAATCTGTTTGTCCTAAAATCTGCTCCTCTTTTCCTTTTCCTCAGATGAATATCTGTATCATTATATTTGTAAATTTTTACATATTTAATTATGCAAAAATTGCAGTTTGCAACATATTTGGCAAATATTATTGGAATATGTGAACTTCATGAATATATCAGTTTAAAAATTATATAAATTCACTGCTTGCAAAATTAGTGCTAAACATTTTAATTATTCAACATATTTACTGGAAAATGTCAACTTCAGGAGGTATTAAAATTCTTAGATGAATACTTTTAAAAAGTTATTCAAATTGAAGGCGGTGTGAATTCGACCCGCAGCATTCAGATACTGAACACACCCAGAACCAGCAGAACCAGCAGAACCAGCAGAACCAGCAGAACCAGCAGAACCAGTAGAACCAGTCCAGACCTCAGCTCTGGCTGGGTCTCACAGTTTCTGTTTCTCGCCTCAAAGTTTCATCAAAATGAGAGAAAAAGTTTCAGAAAATGAACAGAAAACATTCAGTTTCAGCAGATCTTATAGATTTATTAGGATCATTTTGTATATTGATTTAAAAATTGGTTTCTAAGTTATTTATTTATTATTATTCTTCCTTTAAGTAAAGATGTTTTATTGGATTCATTTACATTTTCAACATCCTGATTAAAACAACCTGGTTTTCCTTTGGGGTCAAAGGTCATTTCAATCAAAAACATTGTCAGTAAAAATAAATGAGTATTTTTGTTTAATTAAATGTTGGTAAATAGTTTGTTAAGATGCAGGTGATTTTTGAGGTGATTTATTTGTTTTGCTTTTGAAACATTTCCTGAATTTTACTTTATTTTTTTCCATCTTGATCTGATTTGAAATCCAGACGTTTCTCCTCATATTGTTTTGCAAGAGCAGAGATGAGAGGGTCAGAGGTCAGAGGTCAGGTGACCCAGCATGCACCATGTGACCTCTGTCCAATCTGACCCAGATTCTGATCCCAGAAATATTCCCAGATTACAAGAAGTGGGAACGATAATCTGGATGTTTTTTTAAATCTCGGATTAAATACATAGAAAGTTTTATTGAACAGTTGAGATTTTTAAAAAGCGGCTGATCAGACGGTGATGAAGAGGAGCGGATGACGAAGGTCTGCATTGAACTGATGACAGGTGAGGTCAAAGCTGCGGTTTGGGGTCCCCTGAAGGGACTTTGGACCCAGGAATGTCCTGATTTGGCGCCACATGGACGCCGTCCCATCTGGAAGACTAAAGGTTGAGAAACGTGGAGGAATCGTTGCTGCGGCTGATAAAGAGACAACGTCCAGGATGACGTCCTGCGTCCTCTGATCCGTCCTCCGGTCGGACAGACGCAGGACGCCGAGTCCAACTGGGCTGGAGGACAAAAAAAATCATCTTTTATTCTGTTTTTTGTTGCTGTCTTTATTTCTTTCTGTCTCTATTTCTTGTCCTCTCTGTGCTTCAGCTGGTTTTTCTTCCTCTGCGACTTTCAGGGTGTAAAACTCCCTCCAGGTCCTCAGAGTTTCACCTTCCTGCCACTTCGGCCACCAGAGTCACATTCTCTGAATCTCTTCTCCAAGAGATCTCCAGAATAACCTTCGCCAACTTTTAAAGTCGTTTTACCGACATAAAAATCTAAGAAAAGAGAAATTATAGAAACACAGAAGCTGAACAAACTTATGTTTGAGTTTATTGAGTGATTAAATGATTAATACAGAGTAGATATAGTTTATTTCAAGTATTTGATGAATTGAAACATTTTTAAACTACAGTGTTTGTGTGATGTCTTGTACCTCTACTGTATAGTTAATCTGAATGACATAATGATTTGATGCAGCTGCTGTTTCATCCAAAATGCAAAAAAATACATTCTACTGAAACACAAATATGTTTGAAAATATAACCACATCACCCACTTTAACTAACTTTATGAATATTAAATCATGTTGCAAAATTATATTTCCCTTTTTCAGCAAGATTGAAACAATCTTTTTTGTCAAAGACACATTTCTAGTCATGTTTGTATTTTTGTTTACAAACAAAAGCAGAAAAATAAATGAAGGCAAAAAGCAGAAAATGCAGCTAAGCTTACAAAAATAGACCCAGTTTGGGTGACTTCACTCAAACATGGCAGCACATATAAAAACACGCAGAAAACACGGCATCCTCACCTGCAAGGAAAATTAGCATGTTGCATTCATTCACATTTAATGACCCTAAGGTTCATCCCGCGTTTAAAGGGCTGATAAAAATTAAAACAATAACAAACAACAAGGTTTTAAATCAGAATCAGTCTTTGATAACAGTAACTGACTGAAAATGTTAGTAAAAGAAGCAGTGGGGCTCCAAGAAAATGTAAGTACAGGTGGCTAAATATATAAAATGTCTTTCTTTTAATAAACTTAATTTTGTTTAAAATCATATGCATTTATTTATTGGGTTTTGCTTGATGAAAATGTATTTTTTAACAATTTTTTAGCAACCAATATTTTTTAGGAGGGGGCCATGGTCCCTCTTAGCCCCACTCTAAAGGTCGCCACTGCTGAGAAGCAACAACAGGAAAAAAAAACATTCTGCTTAAATACAGTCAGAAAAACCTGAGAATGCACATCCACAACATTTCCACCAACTTTCCAATTTATCCTGTAAATAAATGGATCAAAAATGACCCAAACCATTTTAATTAGCCTGATTTAGCTCATAGATGATAACATGACAAAATGTAAGGAGAATTATGTGTTTCCCATCACTGAGTCATAGACAGTGACAAATTGTGGCTTTAATTCTTGAAGTGCTTTCATTTTCCACCGACTCCCATTGTGAAATTAATGCTTGGCATAAAGTTATTTTCTCCATCGTTCTGTTCCAGTTAGCATCATTATTGGTAGATTCCTGCTTTATTGTTGCGTTTTAGACGCGATACGGCCTGTCCAGTGTGAACATCCAGCACCAGCGCAGGAGGTAGAGTGTTCTGTATGCAACGGAGCGGAAAGCCGGGGTGGAGGTCAGGCTGACGGATGGAGGCGCAGCACATTCAACATTTGTGCAGTCGCTCGCCCGTTGTTGCTGTCTCCTTGTAGATTTATAATCTAACAGCAACACTTGTTAGCCTTGGATTCAGCAGATTTACAGGTGCACAACATAACAGCAGCCAATTTATATTTCAGTCACGTAAGATAAAAAAAAAAAAAAAAAAAGATTACTCCAAAGTTTTAAACATGCATCAAAAAAGTTCTGTCAATTTGTCAAGGAGTTTAATGATAAAGATCAAAATCAGGTAAATTAATGGGCTTCTGGAAGCTAATGGTTTGCAGCTGTTTTTTAAGCTAACATTTGACTATCACCTAATTTTAAAACATAAATATTTGTTTAATGTAATCACTAGATCTAAGCAAAAACTCTGATTTAGTGAACAGAACAAAAGCAGCTAGCAATGGCACTAGCTAACAAACATTAGCATTCTCAAAGAAACCATAACAAATATGTTTTTTATTATTATTTATTGGGATTTAATACTTGTTTATAACAGTATCATAAAAGTAAAAAACTAATTGTTAGCAATGGTAGCTTGTTACTTTTTATTCTAGCCAACCAACATTAGCGTCGTAGGCCTGCTAGCTAACCAGGAGAAAATGATTAAATAATCTAAATTTAAATATTAGTTTTTCAGAAAACTAAAACCAAATGTCCAGCCAGCATGAAACTGGCTACAGAGTTGGAAAACAGATGAGTGTCTCCCTAACAACCAAAATGGCAGCTAACTGCTATTAGCTTTTGGCACTAGCTTCTGGACATTAGACATTATTTACGGCAGCTATTAGTAAATCTTTGAATGTAATTTTTGGATTATTGAAGGTAATGGGCTTAAATTATGACGTGTTTAAAAAAAGGCCACTTAGCACAGCTAGCATAAAATAGCAACTCTCAGAATTTTAGCAATCTAAAGCTGCTAACAAACCATCAGAAAATGTTTGACAATAGAAATGTGTTTTTGTGGAACTTGGCCTGAGTAAAAGTTTTTAAAGAATCAGAAAGCAGATTATTGTCACGCTAAATAAAAATGGCAGTTAGCTAAATAAAAATGACAGTTAGCTGTTATTAGCTAGCATTTTGTGGAGTTTTGTTTTCAGTTTTATCTTCACAACAATGCTTCTGGTGTTGAGTTGCTTTGTTTCCCATTTTAACTCCTCGTCTGTTTCCAGTCTATTAACTGGTTTTGCATTTGTTGCGACGCTTTCGGCATCTGATGTCGTCATCAGAGCCCTGACGTTTTAATGACGTCTTGATTTTTTCCAAAGCTCTCATTTTGGATGCTAACTAAGTCCACACATGTTTTCTGCACACCTAAGAATAATATTGAGACGATCAAAAGTTGGAAATGCACTTTCAGATTTTATATATAGCAAATAAAACTAACAGAAGTGCAGAAAAAATAAAACTTGATCAATCTTTCATTTAAACATTAGAAAGCAAAAACTTCAGTGAATTGGATTGTTGCTGTTTGGAGATCAGATTCTTCCCAAGAGCTGCAGCCATTTTCTCACCTGAGAGAAGCTGGCAGCCCATCTTCTTCGAATCTAACAAAATTGGTGTCAGTTTGTGCTACGTTTGTGCAGCAAAAATTTTCTTTTGTGCTGCTGTCATGTCAAAGAAGTTAATAAATGTCTCCAGAGGTCATCAAAGGTCAACCAGCTCCAAATGTTCACAAAATCAAAACAAAATTGGTGTCAATCAACCCTGCTGCATTTGTGCTGCAGCAAATTTAATTTGTGTTGCTATGGCTTTAAAGATATATCAGAAAGTTTAAAGGTCAGAAGGTCAACCAGTCCAGCCACATTAACCAACAAAATTGGTGTCAAATGTTTGTGCAGCAAAGATTTTCATTGCTATTTTTCTAAGCAAAAGCAGCACAAAAAAATGAAGCACAAAGTACAAAGTACAATGTTAACACCAGTTTTGTTGGATTTAAGCTGGTTGACCTTCTGAACTTTGAACTTTTATTAATGTCTTTCAAGCAAAAGCAGAGCAAAGAAAATATTCCTGCATCACAAAAGTTTGACAATAATTTTGACTGAATTTGTACCAGGATTCCAGTTAGCCTCTGTAAACTTTTTAATGCTTTTAAAATGCTAGCAGCACAAATGCAGCACAAAGGCCTGACGCTAATTTTATTGTTTTTGGTCGGCTTCCCCCACATCCTTTACGTCTTACGGCCCTGATTTTGCTTTTGCTCTGAATGACTCCAGGTCCGGTCCTCGCTGTAGTTTGGCCGTCGTTTGGCCGTTAGCTGTGCTGGTTAGCAGGATGAATCCAGCCGCTAAGCGCAGTGCGACAGGCTGAGCTTCAGCAGACCTTCGCTGTGCATCTTGTAGAGCAGCTTGAACTCGGCCGGCAGCTGGTGGGACTCCTGCCACTTGGTGGTGAACTTGGTGCCCTTCTTGTCGTAGTAATGGTACGGCAGCTCCTTCCCCGTGTTGGGGTCCCAGCCGAAGGGCCAGAACCCGTACAGGTGGATCTGGTCGCACATGGAGGACGCCAGCGTGTACATCAGGATCCCCGTGCTCAGGCGCTTCGGAGACAACTGCTTGGTTTTCCAGTATCTGCAGAGAAAAGAACAGCAAAGATCTATTTGGAAATGATGGATTTCCTTAATTTTGCTTGGTTGGTGGCAGGCAGAAGGCGGGGCTGATCCAGACTCATCCTGTAAGAACCGCCACTGACTAACAAGGTGAGGAAGAGTAAAAAACTCTCTTTGTCCTGGTTCTGCCTCTCAGAGGGGGAGACTCTCCACAGCGTCCCGGACAAAAGCGTCCAGGAGTTGTGGAGCTGCTGGAAGTGCTAATTCTCCCACTGCAGGTGGATTTAATGGGATTGCTGAAGATTAGGTTACTGTTACAAGCTGCCTACTTATCTGAGACACCATTAAGCGCCGGACTTAAATCCCCCTCCACAGTTACAGCCGCCTTTCATTCCCTTCGTTAAATAGCCGCTTCCTCATAATCCGGCTTTGCAGGCTAAAGCTCCTCTTTGCTGTAAACATAAAGCGAAGCTGCAGCATGTTAGCTTCTGGAAACCACTAAAAAACAGGATCTGGACACCGAAACGGTGGTCTTATTTCACAATCTGGAGGCTTCATGCACCTGGCAAAAGTATTTACACCCCTAAGCTGCTCAATATATCATGTGAATATCAGCAACAAACAGCTATGGATGAAATGGAGGCCTAGACAAAGTCCAGAGCTAAAACTGATCGAAATTGATGCATTAGACGCTCCATCAGCAGATGAACTAAACTTTGCTCACCTGCATCTAAAAGCTGAGTTTTCCCTGATGAAATGAGTCTTACTTGTTGATGTACTGCATGATGTTTCCAGGCCAGGCCAACTGGACCTTCAACTGGCCGCGATGTTCCACGAAGAAGTCCACCAGCGTCCTGGTGACCGTGGCCGACGTGTGGAAGAAGAACGCCGGGATCCACAGGATGGCTCTGTCCAGCTTCTTCAGGCTCAGGAAAAAGTTGTTCCTGTCCTGCACAGTCAGCAGATTATTGTAGTATTTCTCCAGGATGCTGGGGTTAAAGGTCGTCATGTTGGTCCGACGCCCAACGTCCTTCTTAAAAATCTCCGTTGGCGCGAAGTTGCATCGGAGGACAAAGTCGTATTTTTCGATCTGGGCCCCGCAGCGCGAGCCGGTCAGGATGCCGCTGTTCCCGATGACGGCGCAGACGTTGTAGCGCTTGTTGAGGACGGGCGAAACCTCCGGCAGGAGCGACCGGAAGTTCTCGCCGATGGAGTAGACATACTTGTGGCTGGAATAGTCAAAGTGCATCAGCTGGCCGACTTTGACGGAGTCCCGGGTCAAGGTGAAGTTACGGGGGACGTCGATGTGTTGAGAAATCTCCGTCCTGCAAGACGGTTCAGAGAAGTCTTAGTGGAAAAGTCTGATTATTTTAAATAAATCAACAAAACTCTCTTCTAAATGCTGTTTTATATAAGGTGTCATCATGTTGTGAAAGTACAATAAAAGTTAGATAATCTGGAAACATGAATCTCCTCCCTGAGCTACGTCTAAACAAATGACCAAAACCAACCAATCAGAGACAGGAGGCGGGTCTTTGCGCTGTTAACCAACCCTGTAAACGCGCTGTTAAATGTGGTGATGAAAAAATAACTCAACATTACAGAAAAATCATTTATCTGCTGTCATTTGTTGCACTGCTCATTAGCTTTAGAATTCACAACATGCTGTACTAATGGGACGTGATTGACAGCGCTAAGCCCCGCCTCCTGGCTCTGATTGGTTGTTTCTAGTTAGTACTAAAATATCTCCCTGGTTCAAACACAACATATTTTCCTCCTCCACTTAGAGTTTACCTGTCAGGTTACCTGCTTATATTTCTTAAAGAGCCAAAGCCAATCAGAGCCAAGAGGCGGTCCTTAGCGCTGTCAATCATCCTCATAAATGTGCTGTTAATTGTGCTAACAACTTAACGGTGCAGAACTGTTTATCTGCCATTATCAGTGGCCATGCTAATTAGCTTTAAAGCTACTGACAAGGAATGATTGAGAGCGCTAGGCCCCGCCTCCTGGCTCTGATTAGTTGTTCTTGGTTAACACTGAGAAAAGACAGAGGAGCTACATTTTTTTCACAGATGTCTCAATAATTTAAAAAAACTTTTTTTATAAAACTTACAAACTGCAACTTTAAATAAACATGTTTAATAAAATATTTCCACGTCTTTTTGTAAAACGTCCAGTTTTCAGTAACTTTGGGTAATTTTCTGCTTCAGCTGCTGTTTGCTCCACATCCTGAAGCCGTTTGCACTAAAAGCCTGTCAGGCTGTTGCCATACCTCAGCTGTGAGAAAGCTGTGCTGTTGTACCTCCATTTAGAGGCGTTCTGCAGATCCTCGGTCAGAGCGCTGGACAGAGGAAGGAAATCTGGATCCAGGTACTTCATGGCCAGCTGGGAGCTGCAGAGCAAACCAGTTGATTAACTGGGTTTTCCTGCAGCAGCGTTTCCAGTTCAACGGGTTTTCAGAAGCAGTTCAGCTCGTCTGCATGCAGACGCATCGGAAATGTAAAACAAATCAGTTTTTAAATGTCTTATAAAAATAACTGCTTCAAGTTGAGATTAATTTAAGCAATAATCAGACAGGTCCATCATTTAAACCAATATGGAGTCTTAATGTAAAAAAAATGTCTAAACTATTTTTTAAATGTTTCTTCAACAAATAACTCAATATTTTATTTTATTTTTTTTATATAATTATATATTTAGCTGTCAAGGCAACAAAAAACAAGTTTGATTAAATAAACAGCCAAATAAACAGCAGGGAAACTAATTTCAAACACAGATTATAAAACATTTTTTTCTGCTCCAGTTAATCTTTACACTGTAAAAACACAAAATCTTAACAACTATTTGTGTCTAGTTTTTAAGCAAATATTTTTAGCACACATGAAATAACATAAAATCAACTTAAGAGTAACTTTATCCTCTGCTAAAATGTTACTTTTAATTGATTTTTTTCTTATTTGCATTAGAAACTAGATAAAAATATTTGGTGAGATTTTGTGTTTTTGCAGTGCAGCTCAGTAAAACCTGTCTGATTACCTGCTTATATCTCTTAAAGGGCCAGAAACACATTGACATCTGGATTAAACTAGAATAAAAAGTTGAATTTTGACAGAATGAGACGTAAAAATTTTATTTATTTGTTGGTTATCAGAATATTGGAGCTGAATTGCTTCTAAAAACCGCAGCAACAAAATGGTTCAGAAAACCAGATGCATTCAAATCATTTTCATTTACGCTGTCGGCTCAGTGTAAATGCAGACTCTCAGTCTCTTTTCTGTATCTGGAAGATTCTTATTTATTCAAAGCGCAAATAACTTCAAAGTTGAGCTTAGAAGTTAGTAAGAAAGCCAAAAAGTTGCAGCAACGTTGCCCATCTTAACAAGTTGTTAGCAGAGGATCCAAACATTGGATAAAATATTATATTTTTCAGCTTTTACTGATTTAATCATTTCTTTTTTTACTTTAAATGTTTTTCCAAATATTTAAAATTCTCTTGTTAAGATGAACAGTTTTTGTAGTAAAAGAAAGTAAACATAAATTCTCCTTCTATCATTTCTCTACATGAGGAAATATACTCAATTAGTAACTGGTGTAATATTTATTTTTTATAGATTTATAATGTAGCTGATTTTTCATCAATACAATTTTTTATTGAAATATAAATGTTTAAAATATAAAAAAATGGTTTTTATTTTTACTTTGATGACAATAAAAACCTGGAACTGCTACGTTAGCTAGCTTTACCATTTTTCCGCCTTTTTCACCAACTTTCTTCTGAGTTTCTTTGAAAAAACAACTTTAGTTATACAAAACAAAACATCTGCAAAAATCTGCATAATAAAGTGTAAAATTGAACAACAAACTATAATGCTGACATGTAAAAAACTATGTTTGTGTTTTCCCGCCTTTTTCTTAAGCGCAGTCAGTTAGCATTAGCATGTTAGCATCTTCATAAGCACTGGGAAAGGTTAAAAAACTAGTTCAAAACTGCTACAATAGCTATGCTAAAGCTAACTTAAGAAACTAAACCCCTGTTTAATAACTCCAAAAAAACAAATCTGGATCCTTGATTACAATATGAAAATAATCACATGTCAAATTAGAGCAACAAGAAGTTAAAAGGATGTTCAGTAACCGGGTCATTCATGTCGGCAAACAGATTATTTCAGGCAGAAGGAAGCAGTGCTGAATCAGAAACAGCTTAAGATACTAAAAATACTCATTTATAGCTCAATTTGTTGTTTTTGTATTTAATGTCAAAGGTTTATAAAAGTGTCTTTTTTGCCTTTTCTTTTACTAACCAACTTTTTGTCATGAAAACAATATTTTTAATCTCTTTCCATTGATGCTGTTCCAAAATCAACACTAAAAGTTGCCAAGGCAAAGTCAGCGTCTTTGGCTCAACTTTGCTTTGTCTCATCTGTGAAACAAAGTTGTTGCAGTCGGCTGCAGATTTATTTGTTTTGTTTTGTTTTCCAGCCAAACGGAGCTGAAGCAAAAGCTGCTGGTTGTAGTTAGACGGGTAGAAAACATCGCTCTGTATTCACCTCAGGTCAGGTTTACGAGGCGGCCTCTCGCTGCAGCAAAGAGGTAAAAAAACAACAACAATACAAAAACATCTGACTTCTCAGCTTTAAACCGACACCAGAGGCTCTAAAATCACATTGGAGCTGAACATGCAGCTGACGCAAAAATGAAATCATAATGATGAAAATAATCAGGCTGCTTGGAAGGAAAATCTACAGAAAGTCAGATATTTTGCACAGTGCTGTCATTTAAATATAGAGTTGCTAATCTGAGTGACAGAAAAGAGACTTAGCAAAAAAGGTCAAAGGTCAAACACAACTAGTGATGAGAAAATCCGTTAGATATTAACATAAAGTGCATAAAAGTATTCAGTCCAAGGAAGTTTTACGTCATCAATGATTTTATAAATCTATCAAGAAAAATAACATTGCTAAAGTGAAATGCCGACATATTTAGCATAAGCTAATGCTAAAGTGCATTTCCAACATATTTAGGGAAACTCAATGCTAAATTGCTAAAGTCGTGTTTAGAGAAACTAATGCTAAGGATAAATGTATTAAAAAGTTAGCAAAAATGTCAAAACGCATTAGTCGAAAAATAGCTTATCTATTAGCATATTAGCGTATGGTGCCCTATGTCTCATTCTAGTAACTTAAACATAAAGTTCCTCAGTAGCAACATTTGACACTTGACATGCTAACTCTAGCATGTTGTTAGTGCATCCAACCAGAACCTGTGCTATGCTAATGCCCCACCCGTCTCGCACTCTGACCCTAGACAGTTGGTTTCAGACGAACCGACTCGGACCGTAACGAGTTTAATTGGATGAGTTAACATTGTGAAATACAGCAACGTTCATATTCTCCCCAGAGGAATCGTTAAAAGCTGTTAGGAGCTGCAGAGGAAAGTCAATAACACCGAAACACTGATGCACAGTTCAGAGCAGAAGCTTTACAGCCTGACAGCTTCACAGCTTCCCTCACCTCTTCCTGTCTGCTTCCAATTTTATTTTCAATATTTTAGATAAACTCTATGAAAGATGGATGAGCTTACACTGTTCTGGCGGAAACTGTCACCAACATCTAAAAAACATAACATTAGCAGAAGCTAATGCTAAAGCGCTATACCAAGGCGATATGTAGCAGAAGCTAATGCTAATGCCCTGTTGGCTCCCTTTGCGCAATAACTTTAAAGTCCTCAGTGTTCAGTTTTACTTCTCTAAACGGTGATTATTAGCTTTAACAGAATACTTTGTTTTCAAACTAAAACTTTATTTAGTAAGAGAGCAACATATTTAACTTTAACAGGAGGTTAGCTTGTTAACTTTATATTTAGTTAACAAGCTAATATTAGCTCCAACTACATATTTGTTTGAAACTAAATGTTAAACTTGCTAACTATATCATAATTAAAGCTACATATTTAGCCTGCTAATGAGTTAGCTAGCTTGCTAACTGTTTTTGTTTTAGCTAAATTAGCTTTAGTGCTAAATTTTGAACTTGGTTTGTAAATATTTACATTGAAGCCATTGCAGCTTGTTAGCTAAATGTGTTTAAAGCTAAATATTTCTCTCTCAGTAAATATTAAACTAGATATAGTAAATATTTCACTTCCTGCCTGTCAGGAAAATCAGTTTCTATTTGAGACTTTTTGGGTCCAACTGGCAGGAAGTGAGGGATGGATTAAGATTCTGCAGAGACTGAGGATCTGTGACATGATGAGTCAGGTTTGGCTTTTCAGAGCCAATGGAAACAGAGCAGGCCTCATCAGAACCTCATCAGAACCTCCTCTGGACTCACCGGAACCCCGTGTGGAACATGTACATCCTGGGGCCTCCGTTGGCCCCGAACCGCGGGGATCCGGGCAGGAAGTCCTTCTTGATGGACACGTAGCTGATGAGCGACAGGATGAGCAGCGCCACGCTGAAGATGATGAGCCCCAGCGCGCTGGCGACGCGCACCATCCTGCCGCGCCGCGGGCAGCCGCCGTCCCGGGCCGCAGCCTCAGCGAGCGGCCGTAGCGCGGCGCGCAGCGCGGACAACCAGGCGCGTCGCATCGGCGCGCCGCATCTGCGCACCGCGTCTGCGGCGGAGCGAAAGGCGGCTGTCAGAGGTCCATGTGGGGCGGAGGGAGGAGGCTCAGGGTGGTGTTACCTCACAGGCCGCGCTGGAGACCCGCAGCTTCACCGCCTGTCTGAATGCGTGACGCGTTCACGGCCCGCTCCTCCTGCAGGCTGCAAAGCAGAGCAGAAGCTGGACGGTTTCCCGGCATCCATGGCGGCTCAGATCCGACTCATCGTCCTCCTGCAAGGCGCCGAGAGCAGAGAGGCAGCGAGAAGATGGATGCTGCTCTGCATCTGCATCCTCCGCGTCGGTCTCCTTCCTCCTCCTGCTCCTCCTCCTCCTCTTCCTCCTCCTGATGCTGCTGGTTCAGGCTGATTAATTAAACTGCTGTCGCTTTAAGGAGAAGCTGCTCCTGTAAGGCTGTAATCAGATAAACAAGCGGCAGCGGCAGCAACGTCCGAGGCGGAGCTTCAGGAGAGAGAGGACAGGCAGCCAAACGTCTCCAGACACCGAATTAACCCACAGCACCTGAACGCAGCGCGAAGCGCCGCAAAATCAGGCAGCAGCGCAAAAACTGCGTCACATCACTTCAGCAAAAACCCATCACATTTATTTACTTACATTTATATTCAGGCTTTTCTACATTTTTTTCTCCTGCTTGAGATTATTTTTCATTTTTAGAGCAGATGGATCATCCAGCATCGAAATGACCTCATTTGACCCAGAATGTTTCCCACATCATCACCTCTCCACCACCGTGCTCTGCTGCATCAGCAAGACCTCAATGTCAGATACATAATTAGTTAAACATTTAGCTATGATGCTGAATATTTAGCTTCCTATTAACCTGGATAAATATTTAGATACAAACTGATTTGAGTCAAATCTTAAACTAAATATTACGTTTGTTTAACTTGCAAGCTAAATGTTTATCTAACTAAACGAGCTTCATACTTACTTCAAACTAAATAAATTTTGATAGCAACTTAAACATGTGGTTTCAGCAGAATATTTAGTTTGGCAAACTAAATATCTAGTTTTCTAATTGAATATTTGATCTTTTGCAGGTGAAATAAACCAAATTATTATTGTTGTTTTTGAGCCTGATGCTGACGGGTCAATCTGTGAGTTTGATCACCTGCTGCATATTTTCCCATGATTCTCTGGGAAGTCTTTAAACTTTCACTCAGTTTTTCCTCTTGGTTTGATGAATAATAAAGTTCAGAACAAACTGAGCAGACGCATCATTTCCTTCACTCCGGCGCCTGGAGATGAAACCCAGGAAATAACGGTTGCCTTTAGCCTGGGAGCCAAACTGGGATAAAGAGAATAAATGAGACAGGCTGATGGGAAAGCACACACACACACACACACACACACCACACACACACACACACACACACACACACACACACACACACACACACACACACACAGTGTGAGTGATGTACAGGCGGCTCCGTCCTCCATCACTCCGGTGGACATAAAGCGCCACATCCTGCCGTTTCCTCTCACAGCTCATCTCCAGCCTCGGTTCGCAGGCGGCCATGATGAATCACGAGACGCGGACGCCGGATTGGTCAGCCTGACCTTGAACATTCAGCTTCGTTAAAACCGGATAATAAATACCCGCCGGACCAGAACCAGTTATTTTTAGCAGCTTTCTGTCCGTCTGCAGCTTCAAAAGCTAAATGAGAGACAGAAACTAAAACTAAACCTCAGACGCTCTGATGTTTCTGTTCAGGTCATTTCTGTGAATCCAAACATTTTCACTCAAATAAATAAAAATCTGACTTTCCAAACTGAAAACACAAAATATCAGAGAGAACTTAATAATGCAAACATGTTTAAAACGCTTAAAGACAAAACTAAGTGAAAAATACAGGAGCTCATATCTCATCAATAATTCCTTAACACTGATTGTAAAACTACTAGTTAAGTGTCAACTAGCAGTTTGAATATGAGCTCCAAGGTAACTAAAGAGTTAGTTAGAAATAGATCATATTCAGTGCTAAGAACTGAATATTAGCTGAGATTTAAATATTTTGGAGCTAAATAATTAGATATTGAGCTGGTAAATATTTAGCCAATTTAGCTACTCAATATTTCACTTGAAGCTAAATATATTTGATCTTTTGTCTCTGAAAGCCATCGCCTTCTGCAGACGTCTTCGGTTTATGTTTTGCTGTTTATTGTTGGTTTATTATTTTCCTCACATCCTTTTGTAAGCCTGTCTGTCCTTCATTTATCTGGGAAATCAGAACCTGCTGCTGGTTTCTCTCCTGACTGTAAACAGAATCGATTGGTTGGCCATTGATCCGATCCGTGATGACGACCTGAAAAAGGACGGAGATCAGAGCATCATCGCAAAACCTGCTTCATGTCTGGAGCAGAGACTCAGAACGACGGTCAAAACGCCGAAGATGCTGAAATTATAAAACAAATAACCTAAAAATGTCCACATTTTTATCTTTACTGAATTATTTATTGTTTCCTTAATGGCAATAATAAATAACTGATCAATAATCATGAAGTTTGAGTTTTATTTTTACTACTATATTCAATATACGGTCAGATTTTTTAAAGTTTAAAATAATAAACTTTTATGTTTCTTCAGTAACAAATTGCTGCATCCTTGGTGCACAAAGTGACGTCATCACAGAACCAGAACCAGAACCAAAACGGATCCAAACTGTTTCATCATTTTAAATTCCTGCTGCTTTATGCATCATTTTTATTTTAAATGTTTCCTTATGCTCAAACAACACGCAATAAAAAAGAGAAATATTGGCCAATACCGATATTTGTACCGATATATCGTGGATCGATAGTAAAAGTTTACAGATATTTTGACGTCTAAAAGCCGTTCTTATGGGAAACTTTAAATAAATTAAACCTTTAGTGGAAATTATTGATGAGAAGAATCCAAAACTTTAGGACTAATTAAAGAAAACTAGCAGTAGTTTGGTTTTCTTCAGGTTATGCCCAACATTTCTCTTTCATAAATGGTCTAGTCCAATCAAATGGTTGATAAATCATGTGGATGTGAATGTGGGTTCCTCTGAAGAGCCGCCGAAGCCTGAAGGTTTAATACAGATTTATTAATCATCTTCAGAGGAAATGATCTGTAAAATGACGATCAATATCTACAACTCACTGACTGGGCAGGTTGATCATTGTTTCAACTGGATCCCAGTTTGACACTGGTTTCTGACCGACGGCTGATATCTCTGTTTGTTTTTGGACAATGGCTCCCGGATGATCCATACAGAAACAATGCAGCAGGAAACTGAGTCATAGTTTCATATTCTGGGAATTTAGTTCATGAATTTTGAACATTTATGAGAGATTTGACTTTTAATGAGACACAAAACGCCTGAGCTGCTTTTATTCTGATTCATGTTCAGGGAAAAATTTAGATTTTATCTTTTTAAAGAAAAGATAATTGCTGCTTGCTAATGTTAGCTAGCAGCTAACCTTAACTAGGAGCTAACCTTAGCTAGGAGCTAACATTAGCTCCTAGCTCTCCTCCTCTTCCTCCTCTTTTTGCTCCTCCTCCTCTTGCTCCTCCTCTTCCTCCTCCTCCTCTTCCTCGCGGCCCCCTGCTGGTAGGCAGTAACCTGTAGAGATGATGATCTATTGATTTCTGCTCCAGGGATGTTTGACAAGCAGGCAGGTTTGAGCTTCACTTGTTCAGAAATTAGCGGCGTTAACCAGACGGAGGTCGACTCCGTGACTTCCTGCTTCGCCGCCGTCCGGCTCTGGAATCCGGAGCGACGTTCCCGTTTGATCCTTTCTGCAGCAGGAGGAGGAAAACTGCTGATCGGAATCAATAAAACGATCGATGTGGACAGACAGACGTAGGAATGTCCTGCTTCAGTTCCACAGTTTTATTAATCAGTGCTGATCAGATCTGAAGGTTTGGACTTTGACTAGGCCATTGCATCTCCTTAAAAGGGCAGTTTATGTAAAACTGTCTTTAAAATTATATTCCCTCATTACAAACATAAACGATGTTTTTCATGCATATTTGAAGACTTTTTTAATCTCCATGGCAACCATTCAGCTGTACAAAACGTCTGGGTGGACTTAGCCCCGCCTTCAGGGCACCGCTCCTTCAGACTAGCCAGCAGCAATTAGCAAACAGCTCATTCTCAGAGTAAAAACGTTGTTAAAGGGTTAATAGAGGAGCCATGTTGGGATGACTTCCTGGAGGCGGAGCCTCAGGAAGAACAGAAGCTTCTTAAAGAGACACAGGCCCAATTTGAAGGTCAGGTCATATTTGATCCATGTAGCATTTTTACAACAACTAATTTAATTCTGCTATAAAATATGTAATACCGTCCTTTAATTATTCTTTTCTTTTGGAGTTTCCTCCAGAAACTTCAACCATCGGACACAAACATAATTGTAGATTTTAGTAAAACATGTAAATATTTTCAGTAAAAGTTCCAATAACAGCACTGATCAGTTGGACCCCTGGTTCTAAACTTTTCAGGAGGTGAAAATCGTCTCGTCAGCCATTTTAAAGGCGTCTTAAAGGGCTGAGTGCTGACGGCTGCATGTTTTCACCACATGTCAGCCTGTAAATCAGCTCATCAGCGCAGCAGGCGGACATGTTGGGTTTCTGAACATGTGTCTGCGTACGCACCCTCTAACTAAATGGACGGCTCTAATCACCTCAGAGGGAAGAACCTCTCCCCCCGACCGCCGCCTCTTAACGGATCCTAACGGCCCCCAGCGCTCGGCCGTTTCCTACTGAGAAATGAAATACACCACTAATGGTTTATCACAAACACGGCTAATGCTTTACGCAGACCTCTTACCATTAATAAATGATGACTTGTAAAAGGGGGAAGGGGAGCAGTGAAAGCTGGCGGACCCTAAGAGGCTCGACGTTGGATCGGTGTCAGAAATTAAACAGAAAAAGGAACTTTGGGTTTGTCTCATTTTGTAACAACCAGGCGGTTAAACGCAGCGATTGGTTAAAACCGAAGATCAATCAGGATATCAGAAACTGAACGTTTAGTTTCTGAGTTTATTCAACCAGAGCAACTGATGGATGAAATACAGGAAATACATGATGATGAGCTGAAATCAGGTTTCTGACATAAACTGAGGAAAGTTTAGGATTCAGGAGGGAAAAGAAACTGAAATACTTTGATTGTTCCGCATTTCACCAGCAGAGATCAGAAAGTGGGTTAAAAATCATCTACCATCCATTCATCCTCTCATTCATCCATTCATCCTCTCATTCATCCATTCATCCTCTCATTCTTCCACTCATTCATCCATTCACCCTCTCATTCATCCATTCATCCTCTCATTCATCCTCTCATTCATCCATTCATCCTCTTTATTTCCAGA